TTGTACATGTAGGTTCATAAAATTCTGTTTCTTTCAATTTGGGCAGCCATTTATAGCTTCCAAGTGCAAATAAACAAAATAATTTTTACCACAAATTTTTCTGCATTTCCGATGCAATATTCAAAGCTAAAACACCATGGAAAAAGCTTTTCAATCAAAGGAATTCTATGAATTTTCTCTCCCTCTCTCTTGGGCCTCTGGGCCTCTCCAACCCAAAAGTGGATTTCTCATAATCCTGCTTCTGAAATGAAACGTCTAGTGTAATCAGTGATCCAATGAAATCATTTACTTTAATTAGACAAAGAAGGCCAGTCATACGCTAGGAAAACATGGGATATAGAATCTTCAATAGCACGCTCTGGATTTGCCCGATCGAGAACCTCCAATCTAAACCGTTGCACCCTTTCACACCCAAATTCTTGAACACGCAATACTCCGGGCTGCAAGCGCAGCTTCCGCAACCAAACGCATCCGCAAAATCGTCCCGCTACCACACAAACAAGAAAGAACCATCTGCCTCCTTCGACATTAAAATCTACTGTTTATTCGAAGTGTCTGGGAGCCGCTACGCTCCTTCTCCAAACAATGAACATGCTGAAAAATCTGATGTGACAACAACTTCCTCGCTTACGTGATCTAACTGAAAACCCTACAGATCACGAATCGCGAGAGAAGATGAGGAAAATTGGAGAGATCTTTTCAAAATAGGATAGCAAGGCCACATGCAACACCAAGATAAGACAGCACTTGGCTAATTACCTCACTTTTGCAATATTTCGGGTATGAATATTTCATGTCTTTCGAGGGAGAAAACAGGCCAAATATATTTTAACGCTTCCTTCTACGGATCACGCGTAAAAAATTGTAAACGGCGTAAATTTCCAGCGAGAAGCCTCAATTCTGAGCTAAACAAGTCTTACACAGCGCTTACATTAAAGCTGCGTTAAAGCGGAGGCCATCTGGCCGGCAAATTAGAACGTGGGCCTCTCATTGTTTTCTCTTCGCCGATTCAAAGGACAAGGGGTGTCATCTGCCGAAAAATCGCAAACGCAATCTACTGGCCCTTCCTGGATGAAACGATCCTCTTATGCATGAAACACCACAAGACATGTTTTCATTTTCTGATCTGCGAACAATTCCGGTAAGGCTTGGAGCTTAAAGCTTTCGAACCTCTTGCCGTTCAAGGAAGTCGAAGGGACGCTCATTTGTGTTCCCCCTTTACCTTCGAACAACAAAGCCGGCGCGGCGATGGTCGATTTTCTTTCGCTTTGATCCCAGCAACAGAATACTCCAAGAGTTGCACAAAACTAGAGCAATTTAACACAAATGTTATAGACCACTTCATCTGTTAAGTTACCTTTAGAATATGCTCCGACTTGACCTTCGCAATGGCTGCAAGGGCTTTGGTCGACATCTTCAATGGACTAGACAACGCCACAGAGAGACGAGGGGTACAAACAAGCCTTAAACTTTCGCCGCACCCAAGCGCTTCTAAGTCACTCGTACCGTCGAAAGCTCGACAATCGTTGAACTTCTTCTTCCCTCGAAATCGCTTTGACGGGTATTGACGGAACCCGTCCACAATCGTGTGGTGAAACGCCAAAATCACCGAAGCTAAACCAGGAGGCACCGGGAAATAATGGGCCAGAATTTAGACTCAAATTTTTGGCCTTTGTTGTCAGGCTCAGCAGCTGATAGCGTAAGCTGATCACGTGGGACAACCGAAGAATGGCGCCCGCGCGCCTGCTCCGAAAGGTTACCGCTGACTACCAGACAACAAAAAAAATCCGAAAAGTTCTGGACTCCCTTTCTAAGGAATTCCATTTTTCAGCAAGGAAGACAATTATTATTTTTTTGTTTTGGAAATAAAATCGTATGTCATAACATGCTCTGTATTTGTGTTCAGGGAAAAGAGAAAATGTGATGTGAGATGGAAGTATAAACGACGGAAATGGTGATCGTCGCCTATCAAAATACTTGCCGGGTCGAGAGTTGTTGTTTTTTTTAAATTTTTTTTTTCCGCATGGCTGAAAACTCACGAGTCCGCCGTTGAATGTGATTATATTTAAATTCTTATTTCAATATGTCATTTAAAATTTTCAAAAGCTATATTGCTTCAGCTGCTTTCACTTCAGTCTAATATCAGACTGAATATTTCAACTGAGCAAAGTTAGCTTACAGTGCGAAAATTCCGGCTTAACTACGTACATCTTTCGTTCGATTCAGCTGATCAATTAGAGTAAATTATTCTCCGTCTGCAATATTGACTGACATTATGTACCTAATATTAATTAATTACTGAGACCGGCAGTCCTTAAGTAGCTCACTGGATTCTTAACTTTGACTCAAAGTTTCCATGGAGCAAGTCCATTTGCGATGCAAATATATATCAGACATATTTTGCTGAAATAGTCTGAAGAAGCCAATACCAGCGGGTTTATTGAGTCCTGAGCAGCCTTGCCGACGCAATTCGTGCCGCAAATTAAAACAAATATTTTCAAAGGGCTGAAAACCAAAGGCCTGTGAGTTCATCGTTTCATCACGTTGTCTCAAACTTCGTAGAATTAGACCTTAAACAAATGTAAACAGAGCACGCTCTTCTCCGGCCACAAAATGGTTGTGATTCTGAGGAAAAGCTTTTAAGGTATAACTCACCACGAAAAGTCAAAATCAAAACTACTTTTTGTTCATTGACGGAAACCTGAAAAAAATGGTCTAGTATCTCCGAAATTATTCTGTCAGTGCAACTTGATGAATCTATAAAAGGGTATCTGGTCGTGTTACCCCCAAGTCGATTAGCCCCTAACCGTCTGGCCCCCTGAACCAGAAGTCGATTAGCTCCCAACCAGAACTCGGAAACACTGTTCATTTCTCGTTCTTTAAGCGTGAATATAGTGCGAGGGTGATTGGGGACTAATCGACTTCTGGTTTGAGGCTAGCCGGCTAGGGCCGGGCTAATTAACTTGGAGGCTAAACGACTGACACTCTAAGGGGCTCTATCATGAGTTACACATGCACCGTCGCGAGGTTGTTATTTGAAATTGAAAACGTCTGGCAAAAATTTCGAATTTTTCCGTCGCAAAGTGGACACCTCGCTCAAACAGTAACGACAATTTGCTCTCCCTTGCACGATTCACTTTTTCACCAGTTTGTTTGCCACTTTCCTGACATCAATTCATGACGTGCTTTCGTCGAAGAAAATTCGGACTGAACTACAGTTGATCTGGGTGCACTTTTCTTTATCAAAAAATTGTACTTTTACTAATATTCAGCAATTAGACTACGAGCCCGAGTTTTCTATGAGGGAATAGTCCATAAGGCATAGTTTTAGCAAACCACGACGGCGACGCTGTAACAAGAACGCCACCAAACAAAATGTTTAACGAGCAGAACAGTGGTTCTGCACGCGCGTTTTGAATCTAAAACTTTTTTTTACAAGGCGTCGTCCTCGGCGTCGCCGTCGTGATTGCTAAAACTCCTCGAATAGCTCATAGAAAACGAGGGCGAGAAGTCCACTTATTGTTTTGGTAGACACCGCACAAAACCTACTTTTTGTGTATCTATAATTATTTAGCCTCGCCCTCGTTTTCTATGAGCGAATAGTCGACTCGGTTATGCCTTGTTGACTATTCGCTCATAGAAAATTTTGGCTCGTAGTCTATTTGTTAAATACAGTCGAAGCTTCCGTAAGCGAACACCCAAACTGCAAGCCTAGGTGGTCGCTTACGAGAGCTTAGATCATATTGGGTCAAAATTTTGTCTCATTAGCATATGATAACTGCAGAGACTTTTCCTATGTTTTAAATGTTTTATTCATGTGAAGAGCCAATTTCGAGAAAAAATCCGGTACTTCCCATTGAGAAATTTCCTTCCCTTGTACTACCGGAGAAAAGCGATCGTGTTACGCCTTACTTTCAATTTCCGCTCTATTATCTGTCAAGTGATCGCTTATGGAAGGTTAAAAAACAAAAGAAAATTTCAGACTTTTAGCTCTAAAAGTGGCCGCAGTCGCTTACGAGAGGTGGTCGCTTACAAGAGGTTCCAAATATAATGACGATTTGACTTGGAAACTTCTGGTATCTTGGAAATTTTGAAAAACTGGTCGCTGAGGAAAGGTGGTCGCTGTGGAGAGGTGGTCGCAACCGGAGGTTCGACTGTAGAAAACGATGAGAGAAGCAATCAGATTGGCGAATTTCCAATAGAACACAGCTGAGTGACTACTAACACTGAAAAGGGATTTTGACTACTCAGAGCTTTAGTTAGAAAAATATTATGACCGAGGCAATGTCCACGAAAAAATTGTGACTGAGAAAATGTCCATAATAAAATTATCTTCCTTGATATTTAGAGTGTCTTTGATGATCATATATATAAACAACAAAACCGAAATAAAAAATGACAGAGGCAAGTGCCTCGATTTGGCTGTTACTAGCTACAGCCCCCTGCTACTGATTACAGAGAAGCTAGCAAGTCCCTAGCGACTGAAATCGCAATTAATCCGCTGGTGCCATTATTCCAGGGAATTCTGTGTTCGCTAAACAGAAACACGGAAATAAAAAGAAATGAACACACGAGCAGGAAACATTTATCGAGCATCAAGAGCATTGACGAAGGTGGAAGAACTGTACGCGGTCCTGCGCTGATAAATCCCGTTGATGTAGTTCGTTTGCATGTGATATGAACGATTCAAATCGACATGATGGCCTCCCGAAAAAAGTGAATATACTTTTTGGTTGGCAGATCAATAAATCTTGGATTCACCGTGGGTTTGCAAAAGTAGCGCCGCCTGCCGCAAAAACCAAATCCGACAAGCTTGTAACCATTGTAACCAAGAGATAATCTCTTGTTGTAACATAACAAAAGCTGTCACGTGTACGTTAAATTACCGATTTTGACAAATTCACTATCAAGGAAATTTTAAATCAAATTCAAGACATTGTATGTGACAAAGAAACATCGTTCTGTTATCATGCAATTACATTGCTTAATAATATAGATGAAAAAATTACTCGATTCTGATTGGCTGAGAGCAGTGCAGTTCAAGTGTAACAACAGTGCAAGAAAATGTTACACCAGTGCAAATTACACATCTTAAATCTGGATCATGATTGGCTGAAAGGCAATAGGAAATTTCTAAGCCAATGATATCACGTAAAATGATGACGAAAATTTTGTGCGGATACTTTGAAAAAAGTTTTCTGGATTGAGAAAAAATGGCTTCAAGAAAGATCTTGCGGCACCTCCTCCACGCGAATGTTTTCATGTTTATATTATTAATAAGTAATCATACGCTTTTTCTCGTTCAATTTGGAATTAATTTGCAATTTTGAGTTTTCCAAAATGCTAAAATTGCACTTGCCGAAGCGGCTCTTGCAATTTCAGCTTTTTGAAAAACTTACTCTTGGAAATTAATTCAAAACTGAACTCGAAACCGGATTACCTATGCCCATTATATTACATTAATATTTATCAATTTTAGTCTAAAGCTACTCACTAGATCAGAAGAGGGAGATTCCCGACCCTGCAAACAAGATAAGAACTGATTTTCAAAGCTTGGTAGTAATTCAGCAAGCCAAAGAGCAAATTTAAAAAGGTTACTCTTTATTCAAAATGAGAGCAACATAGAACTTAATATAATCAACTGACTCAGCGTAAGGAACAACTCTAAATCTTGACTCTCTGGGTTGCTATGGAAACCACGCTTACCAAGTCAGAAACAGGTGACAGCGGTCTGCCATGTTTCAGGAGGATTGAATTAAACCGCTGGATCCTCTGTTTGCAGGTACTACAACTCATCAGATAATACGACACTGCCTCACGGGGGAGGAATGCGTAGGTGTTCGCAACCTATCATAAGAAAACACTGATGATTAGTCATTTTTAAATAATAATCAAATGAATGCGCGCGCTCTGATTGGTCAATCAGCTATGGTTTATTGTGCCAGTAAACTCATGGAAATTTCGCTTGTCTTCTGAACTATTATATAAAAGCAATAGACCACAANAAGGTTTATTAGCCTAAAAACTTGTGGTGTATTGCATAAATAAATTCACCGGTATCGTAGAGGTCATGGGCTCAAATCTCGTTACCGCCTGAATTTTTTTTGCGCGCTTATGTTTTTTTTTGTTCAAATCTTTTAAGTTCATAACTGTGATGTTTATTTCATGTAGTATGTCTCTCTCCCCTCAGCCCGCAGTCCAAATATTTGTAATACATCCACTAATTGCATTGCAACTGAGTAATGTGTTGAAGTAAGAGAGCAGTCAGTTCAACTGAGTGTCGAAAGATTTTGGTTTCACTACGGTTTGAGATTGGCTGAGTAGTCCAGTTGGTGAGTAATTGGTTTGGTTTTGGTTTTAAGACACTCAATAGAAAATAGGTCCGCAATGCGTAATCATGGGCTTATGGTTAGTTTTATTCATTGGGTTGCAGTATTGTAGTCATTACTTGAAAGATAAAAGTACAATAATAAATGAGGCTCGTGCTAGGAAGCTGAGCACGATACCAGTAAAATGTGTGCGCTAGAAGGAGCGCCGGGAGTCAGACTTACAACTTTGAAAGTCTAGCCGTAACGCTGTTGTGAACTTTACACGAAAGGGATAACCAGTCATAGAAACTTCCCATGACGTAATCAAAATGGATATTTTTTGGTTGAGTTTTTGTATAGTATTGCTGGTTTTCAGTGTCACGCAATTCAAAATAGATCAAAATAAAAATCAAAACCGGTCAATAGATAAAGTCCAGAATCTAGGAAATGAAAGAANACCCAGGAAGTCTGTTTACTGAGACTGTTATCAACTAGGGTATCTGAAGGATAGTAATGCTGCGGCACATTCTGTTGATAGTGACATGTTTTACGCAGTGATTCATCTATCTGCGCGTGCCAAGACTTATATTAACCTTGAATGCATCAACTTCATGCATGATGACGCATCGATGGCGAGGTGTGACAAGGGATCGTGACAAAAAAGCACACAGTGATCTGAACTATGTTTGGACATAAAACGATACACATCAACCTACCCCAGTTACCAGATCGCGAAAATCGAAAGATGTAGAAATTGTAAGAGCAGAAATCTAACTTATAAATTTTGCACTGGTGCGCATTAAATGTCTCTAGAATGTTGACAGACTGTGTCGAGGGCGCGTCCATCGCTATCTGTGAAAATGCTAAAGCTTTAGCTTAAATTCACGTTTGGATGAAAAGGAAGAGATCGCTGCATATATGAAATTAACGTGTTCTACGGTTTTCGTTTGTTTCAATTATTCTACAAGCTTTACATACTTTCACATACTGCATTAAGAACAAAAGCAAGAGTTGTGAAAGTCAAGCACATCGTTTTACTGGTAAATCAGAGCAAAACATAACTGACCACGCGAAAAAGGACGACGGCTTGACGGTGTGACATCCTCGTTTTGTTCGTGACGCAGTGCACTCTGTTAAAAAGTGGCTCAGTGCACTCTGGTTAAATGCAAAGCATTCTGGTAAAAAGTGATGTATTCGAGATTTCGTACCCCTTCTATGTGTTCTTCTTAAATCCTGATTATGTTGCTGCTCGCTCGCTCCGCTCGCTCCGCAGCAATAATAAACACAGTTACTGACCAATCTTAATATTCGGTCAGAATCTTAGCCTAATTTTGTGAAAATACGAACAGTTCCTTGTATCAGTAACCATTACTTGATCGCACATGTTTCTGTTCCAATCACTAATTTTCGGAGCCGTCTAAGATTCATTTAATCTGGAGTATAAAATGACCTATTGAGTCATAAGAAAAGGTCGAACCAATAAGTCGCTGCTTCTGCAGTATTCCATTTCGGTGTTAGCGAAAGGCTAGCAGTGCGAAAACGTCTGCAAGAACTTAGGGCCACAGCCCGTCCACACCATGCCGAAGGAATTTAAAAATGCAGCAATCACCGGTCACTTTGGATTTGTGTTTGACGAAAACTCGGTAAGGAAAACCACGTTATTATCGTGACGCAATCGTTTTCGAAAAGCTCGCTTTTCAAAGCATTCTCCGTCCACACGAAAACGAAAAGCCGGTGTTTTCAAATTCCATTCGGTTTGATGAGCGTCTTCGTTAAGCTAGCCCGTTTTGTGACGGATTAGTGTGGACGGTAGGCCTAGCTGTAGAATTTTCTTTGGCGCAGTGTAGACGCTGCCTAAATTAAACATTTTCTGACCGGTAAAAGGATCTCGATCGAAGACTGCTCATATGCTATGAACAATAGCAAGGACTTTTTCAGATCGCTCAATTGTAATTGAAACAAAGAAGTACTGATTAAAAAACGTTTGTCTGCAATTAAGGATTTCTAGCTCATTTATTTGCTTTGATAAACTGCATTTGATGCCTTTGCAATCACTGATAGGCATCATAAGCAAGGAAAAATTTACTAGGGAAACAAAAACGTTGTTTGTGCCTGTAAAGGTTTTTACTGGAGGTCAATGGTCCATTTAATTACCGAGTTGCGTAAGCCTCTTTATCAAAGCGAGGCCTGGTGCACAACCATACATATTAAAATGAGTTTAATTTGTATGTGAGTGAAATCTTATTTTCATGTGAAGGATGGTTACCAAGACTCGCTTTGAGAAAGAGGCTAAAGGTAATTCGAAAATGGCCTCGTTTTCCGTGATTCGTTTGAAAATATTGCGAAACCTAATGGACGCCGTAAACATCGCTAATTTACGTTTATAAAAAAAAAAATGACCACACGCGAGAACTTTAGTTAATTAACTAGCCGCTAAAAGGTCTGAAAGGTAAACACAGTCATTCTAACATGCTTCATTTGAGTTCGTTTTTTTTTCGAGGTTAACCTAAAAAGGCAACTTGACAAGAATGCTTTTCTTTTGTTGTACATGTTGTTGAGTCTATCCAGTTTTTCATGTAGTCTTTGTCCAAGAGTAGCCAAACTCGAAATCTCAAGTTTTCCAAGTTCTGTTAATTAATTAACAATGGCCTTCTCTAAGTTAGGTTTTTATAGATATTTTTTATAGATATTTTTTCTGCATGTGTATAATCTTATCTCTTCCTCTCCAATATCAATACGGTTTACGTTGAAGTTATGAAAAGAGAGAAATACCAGTAATGTCCAACTGATAGGTTCAAAGTCTCCCTACTAATACAATAAGAAGTGTGGGGAAATCAACGGGAAGATTCTGTATTTCAAGACGCAAACACAAGTGCTCAGGGATGAACGGGTAAAGCATGCCTGTTTCAAATTTTTCGACTGATGATTGTGTACCGATGAGTGTTTTGGTTTTAAACAAGAAACTTACCGGGAAGTGTGCGGTTCCACATAAGACTGAACTGAATTTTGAGAGAGAAGTGACCACAGACATTACATGCACTGATTACTCGACCCAAATTGCCATCAATGTTTCCTCGGTGTTGGACATGAATTCTCACAATATTTTTACGAACAGTTCTTTCCTGTAATTCTTTTAGAAGACAAAGCTAAGGTAATGTTGAAACCAGAATTCATAGTTTATTGGCAAGACATCCATGCTACAAAAACGCCTGTAGTTATAAAGCTACCATAATATGACACATGGCCAGACAAGAGAAAGGAAACTTAAATTCGCCGCGCCAGTGAAGCTTTCATTAAAAACATGTGAGACAAATAGCGATATTTGTTTGTTTTTTTTGTCGTCACGAGTGTCCAATACTTTGCCTTTTTTGCTCCAATGTTTTGCAGAGCAAGTTAACATGAAGCGAAGGATAAACCGCTGGACTAATGCCATTTGTCTGATAAACGATTCTGAATCCATTTATCGAAATGGCTCGGCACTGTCACGGGACTCGGCTCAACTGAACTGCGATTAATGCAACAAAGGCAAGCGCCATGTTTGCAGGACAACATCCTAAGACACCAAAAACTTTAGTTTGTGTGAGTGGCATTTTTAATAAGTAGAATTTGGAAGATTCAACTTCACTTTAAGACTGTTTTGTGGAATAGTTTGCTTTCTTGATATTTTCAGCTGTGAAACCCTTTGTAGTCTGTGAATATTTGACAAACTAATGGACGCTTACCAGAAGTCCCGCCTTATAGTACCAAAAATGCCAAGGTTAGGTGGATTTCAATCAATTTAACATTGTGACTTGACGCTTTTATTAAAAGACATCTGCTAATGTTTTCTATTCTAATTACGAGTCTTTTATTTTACTGCATAGAATCATGCACACTGTATATAAGTTACTGCTTGAAACAAAGATAATAAGGCAGCGAGGTATTTTCAATCAGTCCACCGGCGCTTGACGAAATATTCAGTTCCAATGAAAAATCTCTCGAGTCATGACTATCCAATATTAAAACAAAGAGAAAGCGACTGTTTACGGAAGCAAATATCCGTTTTAAAATGTGAGTTTTAGAAAAGAAATCTTCGTCTGACATTCTCTCCTGGTCCTCAGTCCAAACATTCAATGATAATGGCTTATCTTTTAGCACTTTCAGGCTTTCCCCGGTTTAAATTCTGTGCGTCCGATAACCTGTTACTTTATCTTTTAGTCAGCTTTTCGTTGGTGCTGAAAAAAAAAATAGCGAATTGGCTTATCTGAAAATATTGATCACTTCAACTCGTCCGTCCTGTCTGTGTACTAGAAAAGCATCTTCAGCCGCTAAGGGAGGTCGAAGTAAGATAGTAAAAAATTTGATAAACATCTCTGAATTTTTCGTTGAGCGAATATGAAGGACGACAAACCACGATATTTTCAAAAACTCTCTTCAAACTAAAGCCGGAATTGTTTTAGACGTACGGAAATATTTCGAAAATGAATTTTAAGGAAGCTGTCAGCTCAAAATGGGATCGAATCTCGAGAAACTGAAAATTTAAAAGCACTTTTCCAGATGAAAAGAGCAATATAAAAATAATTTCCTTGAATAAGCCCGGGGGCGATAAGTGGTCAGTGCGGAATTGTCAACAAGAAATAAATGATAATATCTGCCCAGTGTGGCTCCCTAAGGGTTTTTATTTTGTATTATTAATTTCTTGTACGTTGGTCGAAAATAGAATGTAATATCGCATGGCTCAAATCACTTCCAGTCTTAGAAAAATTGTATTTTATGAAAAAAAGATATTGGCGCAGGCTAAAATTGTGTCCCTATTCGTCAGATATCTGTTTAAAACCCAAAAAATAGACTGACGTCATTATTTTCATCTCGTTTCTTATGTAACCCGTACTTTTAGCATGAGATTTTCTGAGCAGCAGAGTTTTCCGCAGGTGCGTTTATTTTCATGTAATTTCCCCATCACAAACGGTCTTAAATCATCAACTCACTACACGAAATTCACAAATGGATAATATCATCTCTACAACTACTGTATGTGTTCGATAAGCAGTGAGATTATTTCTTATTGCTACATTCAAAATGTCAAGATTTTAAGTTTAGCGAAGGTATCAGTATTGTTTTTTTTTTTATTTTGTACCACGACAAACTTTTATGCGCACTAATTTAACAGTTTTGTCATTTGGAGCGTCTGCGTTGACACGTTGATTAAAGATCTAGATGCGTAATTCGCCAAGAAACAAAATCATTATACTTTTAGTTGATGAAAAAGGAAAGGAGAATTGGCTCAATATATTAGTTTAATGAAGAAAACTTTAAGAATGCCTTCAGCATTCTTTCTTGAAGTAACCGCGAATCGATTCACCCCACCCAGCCCAGACATCGATTGCTTGTCCTACAGTTTTTATTTCCATATTCGTATTAACTGAACGAGTGAGCGAGGCAATTGTTTCACAAGAGAAGCTTTTTGTAGATATGCGATACTGAAATGGAAACACATACACCTATCAATTTGATGGAAATGCAAAAACAAAAACAAAACACGACACCGAAGTTATAGTACGTAAATTTTCGCTTTGCGTAAGCGCAAATGTGGAATTAATTACATCAAAAAAATCGAACATCTTGGAACCCCAGAAAATTAAAAGACATCAAAAGAAAAAAAAGGATTAAGGAGAAAAGGTTAATATCTCTAGTCGCTAAATAAAGAAAATGAAAAAATCCGTCTGGTTTTTCTGAAGAATGAAGCACGTTTGTCTGCGATTATATTCAGTTTTCAATAAATCGTGCGATAGAAGCAGCTGTGCGCATAATTTTGCAAATGATTTTACTGTAGTCAGTTGGCTATCAACAGAGTACTTTGGCGAAGTGCAGCTTGGACAGGTTTGTTATCTGAAAACAATACTTTCTGAATCATCATTTCAAAACTTTTTAGAAATCACAATTAAAACGTACTCAAGATCTGGTCAACATGCCGTCGTTCTACCTAAGGCGAAAATGGGTTGAAATTTCACTTTGGGTTGAAAGGAAAACCTTTTAGGTGCAATTATGCACGAGTGGTGGCGTGAATTCCCGAAACATGAAATAAAAGATTAAAGGGAAAATTTAATGGCTAAGAGTGAAAACGAAGCTGATTTATTAAGTGTAGAAGAAAATTAATATGGCATGTAATGTAGAATTGAACTTGGTAGTACAAGAGCATATCAAAAATGAAATTCCCCGGGTAGCAATGAAATTGCCAGCGAACTCCCACCGTTTTGATAAACTCCACAAAATATTTCTCGGACTAAGTGAACTTGTTTTGACAGAATCTTCATTTTCCGTTTGCGTCCCATTTAAACATATCAATTTTTTATGCATTTTCTGGTCTTATCGCCTTTGGATGACGTTTGGGCTAATCTACAGTGCAACGCACATGCATCCCAAATTTGGATTCGTTCGGTCAGTCAAACCCTACGCTTATTAGCGATTCTTAAAAACCTCAACATAGAAATAAGATAAATAAAGCCTAAGATAATTGTTTTACAATCAATACACTCGCCTTCTGTTCGCTGTAGCATGAAAATAATTTACTAATTTGAATATGGAAAACGGTCTAAGCGAACTATTCGCAAAGTCACGCGAGCTAACCCTTTTATACAAATGAAACGCGAGAAATTTCACTCCTGAGAGTGACAATTTTCGCCGCTCAACCACGAGATAATTTGATGCGTCGACAGCATCACGATTTAAGAGGGTTCCTGTGAGTTTCATATATTTTTCGGGACATCCAGACGGCTTATTCAGTACTGGGACTTCTCATCCTTCAGTCTGCTTAAGGGGTCAATACATCCGTTCGCTTAACGAAAATACAGCAAGTCTGTGATCAGAAATTCGCTGTACCCTCAAGGCGCTCCTTTATAACACTGTCATTGAAAAAAAAAACCTCACTTTCCAAGTAAAATAAAGCTTAGGCGAGACATTAATAATCGGCCGACATAAGAAAATAATTCGAAAGCGTGTTCATTCGCACTGTTCGATCACTCACGATTCGCATTGATAATTTGAAATGTCTCATGCAAAAACATTTTACGCGACTGTCATGTGCCGTTTTTCGGACAAAATTTACTCACCGAGTAACATTTCGGCAGTCATTAACTCTTATTCGAAAGTGAGAATGGATTCAGCTTAACTTAAAGCCACAATACCTGTGTGTGAAAGGTCCACTTTTCGCTAGTTAACTTTGATGAATAGCAAGTACAATACGTATTAGGCTCTACACGACATAACTGAAGAGCTAGTCCTGAAGCTAAACTTACCGCTTTGTAGGTCTTTTTCTGTCCAACATGAACTCCCCTTTCATTTATGTGCACACTGCTAATGATATCAAAAAAATCGTCCGCTACAGCGACCCTCCGATATTCGACAACTTGGCTGCGAGCGGATTGTCCGATCTTGTCAGGTTCGTATGGGTACAACATTTCCACGCTCTAAATGCACAAGACATCCCACAGAACACAGTCAGAGATAAAAGCAAACAAAACCGTACTAAGTCAAATATTTTGAGTATGAAACCTTTTTGTCGACTGACGGACTTACTCGTGTATGAGGAACTTTGACAGGAACATATAAAACCCCGTAATCTTGACCATCCTCGGTATGAGCGATTCGAAATCCTTTCGACTTGACCCAGAAGCGAAATTTTGCATCAGTTTCGATCTGGGGCTCTCCCAGCAAATATCTGCAGATTTTGTTGAACTTTTTCCGTGTGATTGTCTTCGTCCGGCTATTTTCTCCGTAGTTTAATTCAACCCAACCCTGAAAATTGCGACGGAATGAGGACCTTTCGAACGACATCTTCGAAAGGAATACGCCCGAATTCAAACCAGAATATTCGGCAAATGAATGTTGTCAGCGATGGGTGCGTTTGTTGGCCCATAGAAGCAAATTGCCTGTGACCGTCTGATTCCTTATTGGACGAAATTTGTTGCATTAGAAGGGCTTTGCTGTCGAACACCCAATCCCAGCTCATGCTAGCAGATGTCCCGAAATCGAACAATATTGACAGGATCCACGCATAATTTGGGATAATTGAGTGAAGGATGTTGTGCTGGCTTTGTTGACGGGACGAGGTAAATGACAGCTAATGAGATAGTATTGTGAATTTCTCGAGGAGGCGCTGTTGGGCTTTACTGCACCTATTGAAATATGCCGCGTATTTTTTCACCTTAAGTGTGGTGTCGAACGAATTGTCCGGCGCGAAAGTGGGCAATTAGATTTACACTATGGCGGCAGTCACGACAGTTTAGAACCACGGAAAACACGCAATCATTAAAATCACGAATATATTTGTTTCGGCTCAGTTCGTTTTTAAGGTTATCAAGCTTTAGAGGAGAAGAGAGTCCATTGTTCCAAAGCCTGACGAAAACGAATCCAGCCGATAGCTGTGAGAAAACCGGATGAAGTCCGGAAACATTGAATGATAAATACCCCATATCCTTTCTCTACAGCCATTTGCAAGGCATAGAATATGCAATTTAGGCCAGTTTACAACTCAAAACATCCCATTTTCATCATAATGCTCTGTATTTGAATTTCGCATTTCAAGTGAAATTTATAGGACGAAATGTAAATAAAACAGTAGTGTATGTTTGCGAAAACCATTTTGCCTCAATCGATCAGCAAACATAGCAAATGTGAAGTGTGAGGAAGAAGTAATTTAAAAACTAAAAGCTAGGGAATCGTTCGGTCACATATTTCAGATATTTAAAATACGAAGAGGAATACTATACTTACAATAAAGTTTGTTTTGAATAACAATTAATTTTAGGAACACGTACAGCGGGGTTTCACTTTTCGCCTTTAGGGAAAATGAAGTCTTCTCGAAGCCTACTTCGCTTAAGACTCAAGAACGGTTTATTTAGGTGAACAAAAAAATACTGATCTTTGCGAAGTAATCAACATAGTCTCCACTGAATATAGAAAAGCTAGAAATAATTTGGCAGATTTCGGACGGCAGGTATTGTAGTCAAAACACTTTGTGAATCACGCGACAAAAAATATTCACACCCGGAGCGCTAAACTCAATTCCCTTAGTCGTCCTGTTTGATTCCGTCTTGTTTGGTTTTCACGATAATTCTGCCTTCTAAATCACCAGCTCAAAGACTGGCTAATGAATATCAAATAATGCCAGTTCACAGAATGAACTGTAGGCATCAAATGTATTTGTATGGACGTTACATTAGCATATTCGGCTGCCAGGCGATCTCATTTTGGGGTCTATTCAGGCCAAACGTTTGCATAAATTGTCTTGGTGCTGTCCGTGATATTTATTCTCTCGGAGAATATTTCACTGTCCATTCCTGTTTTGAAGTGTCACTTCCCGTTAGTGCTTTCGCGCACATTTTTTTTTTTCATATATACTAGTCGTGGAATAAGTCAAAGTTTTAAATGACTTTCTTCCTGATTTGACCTGTTTTATTTGCTATTTCAGTAGTAATAAATCGAACTCTAGTGGCTGGCTAGGACTTTAATTCAAGCATAGTTAGTAGAGGAGACTATGATTCAGGGTTGATATCCGTTTTGTGCTTGCGAGTGATTTAACATCTGAGAAAAATATGGTTTTGACCTGATTCTTGTATACCACGTCTGTACTAAAGCATGACAAAACAACATACAGAAACTGTGCATTTTGATTGGTGGGAAACCGTATTTACTTTCTATAACTTTACCAGCAAGAGAGCAATATCATAATTTGAACTTTTTTCTAAAAGAAAAGCAAATTTTTTCTGAAAACACTGCCATATTTCGTTCTGGCCCAAAACTTCCTCAGCGCACCTTTCTGAGGCAACAACTAATAAACGACTACGACTGACTAAGATTTTTTAGTGGAAAAATTAACGTGGATATAGTTCAGAAAAATACCAAGACGGCTATATAACGGAAACTTGAAAGCTGTGAGAGAGCGCACGTTTAACCCCGAGAGGTTTTGGTTTAGCAAACTTCTAAATGTTTTTCTAAATCGAAGCAAAGAAGAACATCGAGGTGATAGGTCTCTATTATATGCATATATCTGTAATAATCAATTTCCATTTTAATGTCTTCATAAACAAATTTTCCTTTGAAGACACCTCATTTATTAAGTTTTTCTTCTTTTATTCTACTGTAATTTTCTTCCAATTCTCCATTTTTTCCATCAAACGCGCCCTTACAAAACAAGTTCGATTTTTCTAACATCCGTTGCCACTCGCAGTGGAAATATCTTATTTATTTTCTCTTCACCGTGGCGAACGTGAAGTATGTAATCGTTAACACAGTTCATTTCAGATTTTCGCAAATTCACTTTTCTGCCCACCTTTGAATTAAATTAGTTATTTCTTGTAAACGTTAGTTGAAATGTGTCAGTTGTAAAAGGAAGCTTCTCCACATTATTTCCGACACTTTTAGCACCACTCAGGGGAAGAATAAAAGTCAATTAAGATTTAAAATAGCGGTTATTTGAAATGAAATTCTAAGCTGAGAAGATGTGCAGATGTCTGATAAACAGAAATGTAAATCTGTAGCACATGTTGTTAACTTGCAAAATGAGTAAAAACATAACTTTAAAAAAATGTTAGGCGTAATATATTCCTCGACGACGAAACAAGACGACAAGAAGAAGCCCTTGAAGCCATCTGCGACACTTGGGCAATTCAAGTATATGAATTTGAATACCTTCGTAAGTCTTATTTCAAACGCCGATTATAAACAATTTGAGAGACATTTCCAGATACGTTTTCGACGTTACTGCAAAATTTGGTTGTTCGTTGTTCGGTCTAGCCTGTTTTAAAGCACATATAGTGTTGGTGTAAAGAATTATTTTCTGTCTAAAACGATCGATTAAGTAAAAACCCCTTAGGCCCGTAGGAACAAATATTACAGTGAGGGGGGCACAAGGGCTGCTGGCGTAGGCTGATGGATCGGAGACCCATCCTTGTGGGGTTGGGGGAGTCCACGGGGATCCTCCCTCGAAAAATTTTGTTTGGGGCATTTTAGGACACCTTTGTGAGATACGATTAGGCCTGCCCCGATTGTGCTTATAAAATGCTGACAAGTTGCTCACTGGAATGCCAAAAAGTTAATGCTAAAAAATTGCCAAAAATCGAAGAAGTTGCAACCTAAATCAAAATTCTTGATATTTTTATATAAACGCCGGATTTTTTTGTCGTTCTTCACAATAATTGCGAACATCGGTCAAGAAAAAAATTGGCACTTAGCTTTAAAGAGTTACTCGCAAATATGGGTGAAATTTAAGGATACTCTTAAGTCTACGGAACAAAACACATGGTTCATTCGACGTCTTGCCGAACGTTGTTAAGTGACAGGTTTTGTGTTCAAACTTCAAAAGGTTGATAAACATTCAAGAAATTCCCATAAATTGATATTTTCTTTGAAATCGTTGACTTTTTCGTGCTATATTTTGCTCAAAAGTTTCTCAAAAAGGCAAAACTTGCTCGAGGTTGCTAGAACCGTGAAAAGTTGCTCCAAACGCCAAAAGTTGCTCAAAAGCAACATGACAGCATCGTGGCATAAAATACATTTAATATTTCCGACTGGTATGTATATTAAATTGCCCCCAAAAAAGTGAGGGGAAGGACAACGGCCTCCCCCCGGTCCCCTTCTTTTACGGCCATGGCCCTTGCCAGTGGCTATTCAGTAATTTTTAACTATGCATTAAATTGTGTTTCTGACTGTGATCAGTATTTATTCTCTCATAGCAATATTAACACTATGTCAAGCAAACAGGAGTTGTGAATTAAAAAAACAAAAAAAAAAACAAAACAAAAAAAACATTAGGACATTATCTTCAGAAAGTTTCTCAGGACACGCATGATTTCAAGATTGGAACCGAGAAGTTCTAAAACGCCTCCGCCATAAGGCAGCACAATTCAAATGCTCAAAATTGATTACGAGCATGGATGAACCCTTTTCACTCCACTGTTGTAAAAACTTAACTGGTGTAGTTTATAAAGCTATTCTTTCCGGCTAAATGCGCTACATCTTTAACGATCTCCACCAGGTCTTTAACATCAGTCTTTTCTCTGGAGCATTTTGTATATTTCTGTTTTGCTCTGGAACAAAATTATGGCTGAAGATCTTTTAAGTTGGATCCTTGTTGTAAATCTAGTTGACAAGGAAATTAAGTCAACCTGGACACGATGAACGAAACACATCCTGACTGAAATGATAAACAATTTACTCAATTGGAAAAATATTTTAATACTGTAGACTTTTTGCTATACTTTTTTCCCAAGATATAACTTGGTTATGAAATAAATGTTCTCCTTCTTGACCCTTCTTCTTTCCCACTGGTGGTAACCGTATCGTATTTATTGCCGGGTGATATCACGTGAAGTCGATCGTGAAGTCAATTTCTGGAAGAAATTTTGGGGGGAAATTCGAGATTTTTTTATATTGAGTCACGTGGTAGTGTCTTCCCATGATTCCAGCGCAAACTATTGTCCAAATTCAATATGGCGTCCAATGGGAAGTGGGAAGTAGTTGGTAAAGGTGGAAAGAAAAGGGCTTCTAATGAAGGGAAGAAGAACAAAGTCAAGGCGTCTGATATACCTAAAGCAGAGATTGTCAGTAAGTGCAAAAAGTCCTTCTTTTGCCAAGCTTTTACTGAACGAAAATAGCTTTGCGTGCTGTGTTGCCACGTAAGCTAAAACACGAAAAAAAATAAAATAAAATAAAATAACCAAAGACGGCCGTAATGGGACAGGTAGCTGTATCGTTATGTACTTTCTCTACCTTATAACGCGTGAAGCACGTTGGACAGCGAATCACAAATGCACCACTTATTTCGTGACTTATTTAAGCTCTGATTCCCGACATTGATTGATTGTCGACCGTTGTGATAGCTGCAAGTACTAAGCGTAAGTTAATTAAAGATAACAGCGTACAAGTCACAGTTTATGCGGCCGTTTTTGGTCTTTTTTCGTTATAACTACCATTTGTATAGTTACATACCAAATGTAGTTAATTGTATGAGTACAGCTGGTGACCTTTGACTTTTTCCTCTGTGGTTGATCCATGGCCAACAAGAGGGATCATCAAAATTTAACAAACGAGTGAATCCCCATCCACGTATATCTGAAATTTCTGTAAGTCACAAGATCAAACTCAGTTTGGCGCTTCACTAGTAGAAAATCCTCAAGCACCAAATTTTTACATGGAAATCATGATATGCTCACGATAGCTGTTCACTGATGAACCCCTTCGCACTCCTGACATGTATTGTTAAGGTGGCTCAAAACAGTTTCCAGCAGTTAGATTTTGATGGCTCATTATAATCACTCCTTATCATGTGATGCCGGGAGGCGCGGTGGC